AATTTCATCTGAGACTGCTTGTCTCCTTGCCCTTCTTCTCCCTCCTCCTCCTCCTCCTCCACGTCCTCCTCCTTCACCACGTCCTCTTCCTCTCCCTTCACCACGTCCTCCTCCTCTCCCTTCACCACGTCCTCCTCCTCTCCCTTCACCACGTCCTCCTCCTCTCCCTTCACCACGTCCTCCTCCTCTCCCTTCACCACGTCCTCTTCCTCTCCCTTCACCACGTCCTCCTCCTCTCCCTTCACTACGTCCTCCTCCTCCCCTTCATGAATATAGCTTACCTGTGGCATTTGTAGACTAAAAAAATAATGTTTTATGAAAATAAATAAATAGATGACAGTTCCTTTTGTCTGAATATTATTGCAAGTGTTCCTCATACAAATAACTAAACTGAAACTGTGATTAATTACATAATAGGAAACATGGTGTTTAGTATTTTGGAATGAATTTTGAGATTAACAAAGTGTGTGAAACTATAGAAGTGAACACAGCTGAGTTTCATGCCACTTTTGGGATCCAAAATAAACAGGACTCAGGGTCACTGAGTACCTTATCACAGATAACCCCCTAATATTTAGAACTAAATCTTTCTCTTATTTTTATGCATGCTGATTTGCCCATGGGCGTAGCTTGTGGGGGGGCCAGGGGGGCCTTGTAGATTTACTATAGCAAAACTAAAATGTGTTTAAAAGTACGTCTGACCAAATCCACCGGTTCGGTTTGGCCCCCCCAAACTCAAACGTCAAGCTACGCCTGTGCCCCGTGCACGTGACTCAACAGACCTTGAGAATTGTACTGTATTTAAGAGACGAATAAAACCTGTCTGTGTTTTTTTTAGAATTACTTTGAATGATTCATCAGTGTATGTGATTCTTCTGATTCGCTATTCGTTTGTGCCTTTTGTCTAATTGAACATAGACAAGGAGTTTTAAATTATATTTGTTAAACTACAAACTTCAGTCCAGTTTGGCTTGACAGAACAGCAACATTTAACTTTACTTTAGCTTTAACGTACAAGTTGTTAACGTACCTTGTTAAACCTACACTCTCAGAAAAAAAGGTACAAATTAAAAGGTACTAACATATACACTTTAGGTATTATATGTAATATGTACTTTCAAATATGTACTATTTAGGGGTAAATAAGGTACAAAGACATACCTTTTAGCCTTTTTTACTGGTACCACCCCACTGACAGCTTTGTATCTTTTTTTCTGAGAATGTATTTGTTCTGATTTTGTTGACCCTTTGACGCTTAATATCTAATGTCTTACAGAATTACAGATGATGAAGCTCACCTCGACGACCACACTGCTTTTTATAGTCATCGCAGCAGTCCCCATGCTGCTGGCATTATAAATCGCAGTGGCAGTAATTCAAGGCATCATATAACTCTCCACATCTTCCTTTACAATAAAGTGAGCCTTGAAGGAGGTGAGATATATTTCACATGCTGACTGCTAAAGCGTCACTAAAATGTTTCATTTTCAGTTACATTTTATGTGAAAGAAAAGATCTATCACCCAGAGGCATGTCAGTAACCTATTATTTGTATTAGTATTAGAGCTTGATAGTACTGAGTAAAACATAGAACAATTAGACATAAGGCACAGGATTTGATTAAGGAGATTTGGGTATGAATCATTATGAGGAAAAAAAATTAAATAGAAAACATTAGTGTAAAATTCAGTATCACAATTCCACACTTACAGAAGTCCAGAGAATCTGAGAAAGAGAGAGAAGGAACACTGGGATAATTACTATGGTGTACAAGAACAAAAGATACATGAACATGTTTAGTTTAATAACTTAAAAATGTATAATCAGGATGGAAATTGAAGGTATAAACTTACCACTGTAGCCCTGAGAGATCAGGGTGATGGTGAGAAAGAGGATGAGGGTGACCTTCATTATGGACTTTAGACAATCCAGACGCACAAACTGCAGATTAAGACTCAGGTTTTTATACCATCTCAGATCAATAAAATTTTAGGAACTCCTCCCATGCACCAACACATTCTGTTGTAATAATAACTACTAATATTTAATAATAAAGGTGACTTGCTGCGTTGCTATGAGGATAAAGGTAATTGAGGGAGTGGTGAGATGATTAAAAAGAGGAAGTTGATAAAAAAATTAAATAAATTTGATTCTCTTTTTCAGTCAGCTGGTCCAAAATCCATCCAGTTGTCAGGCTCCAGGAATGGAAGACATCCGGTGAAAAAGATGAATATAGCATTTATATAGAATATACTGTAGCATTTAATAATGAACACTCTGACCTTCATTATGGACTTTAGACAATCCAGACGCACAAACTGCAGATTAAGACTCAGGTTTTTATACCATCTCAGATCAATAAAACTTTAGGAACTCCTCCCATGCACCAACACATTCTGTTGTAATAATAACTACTAATATTTAATAATAAAGGTGACTTGCTGCGTTGCTATGAGGATAAAGGTAATTGAGGGAGTGGTGAGATGATTAAAAAAATTAAATAAATTTGATTCTCTTTTTCAGTCAGCTGGTCCAAAATCCATCCAGTTTTCAGGCTCCAGGAATGGAAGACATCCGGTGAAAAAGATGAATATAGCATTTATATAGAATATACTGTAGCATTTAATACAATATGAACACTCTCTTGAAATCATGGACTAATCCATTTAGCAAGAATGTGTTCTTGGCAAGAAAGTGTTCTGTAAAGTGTTTCCATGTGCAAACAGTCAGAAAGACCAGGTGGTGGCATTCACACTGCAATCACAACACTTTTGTCAAAGGTTTTTATCTTCACGTTGGTGCAGAGCTGACACACGTTCTCTTTTTAAAGTGTGGATTTGTTTTTTCCACATATTTTAATTTGAATCAATTTAAGTTGTGTTTTAATGTGCTTTTTTAAATAAATGTTGTTGTTGTTACTTTCTCATGTGTGTATAGACTATCCCATTAGGATTGGTTCTAGGTCTGAACAATTAATCGAATTCCTAATCGCGATTACAATTACGAATGCCACAATTACGTAATCGTTCAAAGTCCACTTATGTTATTTTGTGTGCAAGATGTGTTTTTTTTCTTTCTACAAGTTATTTTAAGGGTTTTTCAATTGTTTTAATGTTAGTTTTAGAATAACATTAGCTATAATACCATGCATGTTTCTAAAGTGTTTTTGAAAAATCACATACCCTGCCTTTAAAGAAGAAACCAATCCATTGTAGGCTATAGTTTACATTTGAGGCTTAATACTATAGAAAAGCAAAAAAAAGTTTTTCAGAGTGTTTTCTTTTAGCTTGTTTATTTTAATATAAAAAATTACAAGTTGCTTCAAACAATGGTATAAACATCAATCAGTGTAATTAATAATCAATTACAATTTCAAGGGAATAATCGACAATTATGATTTTTGTCATGATCGTGCAGCCCTAATTGGTTCCAAACAACACTAAAATACTATTGTTATTATTATTTGAGCAGATTTATACATTTTTATTTCGTTAGGCATTGTTATTCTTGTTCTTTTCATTTGTTTTTAATGAATTACACTGTTCCTTCTGTTCTTCATTAAGCTGTAGTTTAAACTCCTGTGCAGTAGATGGCGCTTCATGTGACTCCCAAGTTGTTTCTCTCTCTCTCTCTCTCTCTCTCTCTCTCTCTCTCTCTCTGTAGAAAGTGTGCTTCAATGATATTCCAGTTACTGATGTAATGAAGTCTGTTTTAGTCCAGAGGAAGATATAGAAATGGCATTGCATTCTTTATTTGTGGTCTGTCAGAACAGAAGTAGTCAAGGTGGGCTTTGAGTCGTTTGTCATATTTCGCACTCTAATCTTTTAATGTTTTGACTAACTTAGATGATGCTCTTTGCATGGCAGTCTGTTTTGATATGAAGCATTTGGCTTGTTATTCAAATAAAGGCGTGTTTAAAATAACAGATGACAGTATTTGTATATCGGTTTCCATACGGCTGAGTAATGTGCTGTAGAGCATTATTAAATCATGTGTCATATTAATAATATGTTGTTCATCATAGGGATGTCTCACGCGACATGTTCAGTCTCTCTACACCAGCTGCCCGAGTTTAGCAGCAGATAAAGCACGAAAATCTACAGGCTACACCTTCATCAACTGCAAAAAGGCACTGGAGAAATTCAACAATGACGTTACACAGGTGGGGTCCACTATTTTCTAAACATTTTTAAAAGCTGGCTGTAAAAAGAAATATTTTCATGTCACCATCACATTCTCCCCATGGAACCCAAATATTAGCCATCTACTCGTTGGCGTAGTCAACAACATACAAAAAAAAAAAAATATATATATATATATAAATATAAAAAAAGGATTACATTTAGTTAATTGATTAAAAGTCTCTCACTTCCAGAAAAATTGAGCAAAAGTACTTGCAAAAACAGCTAAAAATGCCCCTATTCACTTCCACTGTAAGTGCCATTTTTACTTTATTTCTTATATATAATGTCTCTTTCTATTGAGAAAAAAGCCAACCATTCACTTCCATTTTAAGTGCCACTTTTTTCTTTATATCTTTCAAGTAGTGAAATTAAAAGACTTAAAACCACTGTATTTTTTTAAACTGAAATGTTTCTAACAAGTTGCTATGTATCAATTACTAGTCATCTGATTTGTCGAGCACTAACAGTAAACTCACATCCTTGTCATAGTTGTTGTCATCTTTGTATATATATGTATATTATGTAATTTAGATGAGCATAAACTATGGGTGTGCAGCCACAAGTCTGTACATGGTAAGGATGAGCTCATTATGATTTGCAAAATTTGATGTTTGCAGGCAGAAATCTGGCTGCATGAACAAGCCAAAAAAGACTGCTGGAGCAAAGCGAGTAAACTGGAAGGTCGGAAAGCCAAGGAAGGGCTGATTGGGCTCATTATGGGTGACAATGCTGCTGTCATGGTTGAGGTATGTTAACATGTCAGTCTTACCAAACAGTGTGTAATTTGGTCCCCAAAATGATGCAGTGTGATTGAAATAAAATGTATGTTTTTCTTTTCAGGTGAACTGTGAGACAGATTTTGTGGCGAGGAATGAGAAATTTCAACAGTTGGTGAAGGATGTTGCTTTGTCAATAATGGCTCATCACAGCAGCAAAAAACAGACAGGGTATATTAAGGTACATTCCCCTGATTGGCATTTTCAGGAAGGTGCATTTCTTCCACACCTTCTGTAACCTCTGACTGCTGCTCTGCTCTCTGATTCAGAGTGTGCTGTCTTCTGAGGATATTAGTAAGTTCCTGAGGGACCCTCACTGGCAGATCAGATAGCCTTGAATATAGGTGAGATAAACCATGATATATTTACATTTACATTTAGTTAGATGTTGTGACTTGGACACCTCACCTCTCCAAGATATCTTGAAGGACCTATCTAGAGAGATAAGACTCAAACCACTGGAGTGCGGTCCTGAGATGCCCTTTGCCAATAGGGTTGACAGGAGGATCTGGTGGTTAACCGTGTCAAAAGCAGCGGACAGATCCAGCAAGATAA